AATAAGTAGTGTTCCTTGTAGGTGATGAAGGGTTAGTCAAATAAAAGGCCATAAGCAAGGGCCAACTTGTCTGTCAAGAGTTATAGACCCTTCACACAATAAAAAGAAGAGTCAAAATACATAATGGAGTGCTCTAACTGGTCTGGATGGTAGACCCTCAATGGTAGATTGACAGATCAAAACTGGATAATAGTATACAAGGAAGTTAGGTAAATATCTAATATCATTCATAAACCCAAAACAAAACTAAAGGCTGCCAAGCAACCACCATATGACAGACCAAAGATCCCTATCCTAAGAGACCAGAGTTTAGGATTAAATAAATAAAAGTTCATCAAATCATAATTTTAGTTTTTTGTTTTCCCTCTACCAGTGATAGCAAATAAGTAATTTATTCATGGATACATGTTTCAATAATTACAAAGGGCATATTGAAAGACCCTTATGCAAAATGAAATAACACTTGTTAAAACTGTATAAAAAGCACCTATTAATATTACTTATTTGGATTTTGATGGGTTTATAACCATAGTGCTTATAGCCAGTTTCCCTTTATTCACACTCTTTTTCTGATATGTCACAATAAAAAAAAAAAAAATGTTTTGCTGCAGAAGGCTTTGTTTGTTGTTAGGAGTCATTGAGCCATCTTCAACTCATAGAGACCCTATGGCATTACAGAATGAAACAGTGCCTGGTCCTGTGCCAGCTGTACCTGAGCCCATCATTGCAGCCACTGTGTCAATCCATTTACTGATGACCTTCCCCTTTTTCCGTTGACCCTCCACCCTACCAAGCATGATATCCTTCTCTAGGGAATAGTCCCTTCTGACAACATGACCAAAGTAGGTGAGACAAAGTCTGGACATTCTTGCTTCCAAGGAACATCCAGCTGCACTTCTTCCAGGACAGATTTGTTAGTTCTTTTAGCAGTCCATGGTATTCTTAGCATTCTTCTCCAGCACCACAACTCAAAAGCATCAACTCTTCTTCAGTCTTCTTTATTCATTGTCCATCTCTCACATGCATGAATGGATTGAAAATACCATGACTTGGGTTAGGCGCACCTTAGTCTTCAGGAGACATCTTTGGTCTTCATCACTCTCAAGAGGTCTTTTGCAGCAGGTTTGCCCAATGTTTGATATCTTAACTGAATCTTCCATTGGTAGAACCAAGTAATATAAAGTTCTTGACAACTTCAATCTTTTCTCCATCCGTCATGAGGCAGTTTATTGGATTATTTGTGAGGATTATTGTTTTCTTTACATTGAGGTCTGATCTATACCGCAGAATGTAGTCTTCAATCTCCATCAGTAAGTGCTTCATGCCATCTTCAGTTTCAGGAAGCAAAGTTGTTCTACCTGTGTATTGCAGGATAATCCAGCTTCTCAGATTTTTACTGACCATACAAACTGAATAAGTATGATGAAAGGATAAAACCCTGAAGCACTGTCTTCTTGATTTTAAATCATGCAGTATGCTCTTGTTCTGTTTGAATGGCAGCCTCCTAATCTATGTACAGAATCTTCATGAGTACAATCAAGAGTTCTGGAATTCTCTTTCTTCTCAATGCTATCCATAATTTGTTATGATCCACACAGTCAAATGCTTTTGTATAGTCAATAAAACATAAGTAAATATCTTTTTTTTTTTTTTAATTGTGATTGGGGTGAAGATTTACAGAGCAAATTCACTTTCCATACAGCAGTTCACATATACTTTGTCTCATGTCATTGACCAAAGTTTATCACAGTGCAACAGCTCCCCTCCCACTTTCTCCCCATAGGTATCTCTTCCCAGTATCCATCCTTCCACACACTCCGGCTCCCTGAGATGTCTCCCATTGTATAAGCAGTCCTTCTTTCTCCCATGATTGTTCTCTCCAAGAAGTGTATCTACTTGAGGTAAATGTTCAACTCATATACCTGTCTTTTTTTTGGCTGGAAACCACAGGTGTGGGTTCAATTCCAGACCTGAAGGGCAGCTAGGGGCCTAGTC